GAAGAATGGGGATCTTTGAAGATTCCTCATTACATCTTTCTGCTTGGTCAGTTGCTTTAAAATGATGTGCATAAACACACACAATCACATTACATATACTTTTAAATAAATACAGAATTAAATAAATAGATTAAATCTGTCTGCAATCAACTCTATCAATCTTTTTCTTTATATGTGACTCTTGCTCTTGTGCTTAAAACATCTCCCCTTATTCTGAGACAAACTGTGCTTTTTAACCTATGCTCATTTTCAAGACTTTTTTTTATGGTTGTGAATTTTAGATTTATACCTTTAATCCATATGATATTTATTTTGGTGCAAGCTTTAAGGTGAAGACCTAGAGTTATTTATTCTAAATAGCATTCTCTTTCCTTCCCACATGGGTTCACACAAATGCCCTTACCATCTCCTGCCTTATCCCTTCCCTTCCACATCCCAGACACGCTTCCAGCTTACGCACCACCTCCTTGTCTGTGGACTATCACCCAACTCCTCATTTGTAATATCATCTCTGTTTTGCACTGTAATTGACAAGTCACCCTCCTAATATGGAACTGCATTAGTGTCACCGTCTTATCCTTAAAATGCTTGCAGAGGATAAAGCCAAAGTGTGCCATTCACGTTCCCTGCTTAGCTTCCCAAAGTTACCTTGGATTAGAGTTACCACTGCAATTACCCTGAGCTAGCTGTCAATCATCCTGATAGCGAGCTTACCTTTGGAAATCATTTTTAACATCCCAGGCTAGCAGTCCTTCTGTCAATAGCTTCTGCTTTCACGGACATAGACAGACAGATTAGAGAGTAGGCATGTGAGTGGGTCTTCTAGATTGTTGGAATCAAAGTAAATCAACCAGTTTCTCCAAAAGTCATTTCAGACAATCTAACCCTGTCCAAGAAACCTTCCCAACAATTCTAACTCTGTCTGACTGGTACTTCAATCCCTCATTTGTCATTTCACATACGTTCAGTTGGCACTGAATTATTGATGCTTATTGAGTGTCCCTTTTTAAGTGATCCGTGTGTGTGTCTTTGCATGCTCCATCTTAATGGATGGAGAGCAGGAAGAAACTTTACAGATCAGTTAGTCTCATCCCTCATTTTGCAATTGAGTCCACCAAGGCTGGAGGGGGTGGGGAATGACACAGGCCATGGAGCACCTCAGCAGCTCTGGGGCCTGTGACTGCTCCTTTCCCCCTCTCCCTTGTATGCTAGTTGCCTGCTGGTTTGGGCTGGAACTTCCTTTCCCCTTCCTTTATACACTTTCCCTGAATGGCACCCCTACTTCCAGCCTCAGCATCCATCCATAATTCCAAACTGCTCCCTCCCCCCTTGGATCTCTGAGCTCTGGATTGATGTCTTTGCCTCCTCTATCAGTAGCTTTGCTGGTTTGTCCTAGCAGCATTTCAAAATAGCTCTGTCATCCCCTTCTCCCTGCCCTTTCCCTGTGTTCTCTTCTGAACAAAGGCACTGGCCTCCATCAAATAGCCAAGGTTAGAAGTGCCCCTTAACTTCCACTTCTTCTTCTTCTATCGAGATTCTGTAGCCTCCATTTACCACATCTCTCGAGCCTTCCCATGTCACTCAATTACCTGTGCAAATACCCTGGGCCACACTCCACTGTATCTCACTGGGGCATGGCAAAAGATTCCCAAATGGGTCTCCATGTCTCCAGTCCATTTGCCCACACTGCAGTCTGAGAAATCATGCCAGGGGACAAGCGTCCCACCACTCCATGGCTTCAGATGTGCCCCAGCCCCGAAACCCATTGTGCCCAGAGCATTCTCTGCTCTTGTCTTCACAGGATTATCCCCTACTCTCCCTCAATTCTCCACTTAACTACCCTTTTCCATCCAAGAGGTTTTCCCTGACTCCCTTCAGCCTTCACAAACTCTAGCATATGTTACCCCCATCCTCTGAGCTGCTCCCTCCTTCTCTTGTTTATTCCTAGGGTCTGTCCTGGGGCTGGGAAGGAGGATGCTGAGCACCATCAGGTTATGAGTTGGGTCTTCTTTATCACAAAAGCCCACCACTTTTCACAGATCCAGGTTACAGGGAAGACCTACTAAGTATCTGTGGAACCACTAACTCCAGGTCTAGGGTTCCTGGCCTTCTTCCGGAGAGAGGGCCACCCTAGATGACTCTTCTTGTTCTTTTCCAAGTTCTCTTTCCTGAATCCCCTCCTTGGGCCCCTCTCCCCACATGGCTTTCCAGATGCAGACACCTCATGGTAGGGGGCCCTTTAGGGTGCACAGCTGCCCATTCTGGCCTGCTCCCTGCCTGTTGTCAGGGCTCACACAGACCCTGAACCACAGCCTGGCTGGGCCGCCAGCGCCACATCACCCTGTGGATGGCGGCTGTGATCTCACGGTTGCGCAAGCTATAAATAAGCGGGTAGAGCAGCGGTGTCACATTAGTGTAGACCAACGCCAGTGTGCGGTCCAGCCGCGGGGAGTAGCTGCTCTTGGGCCGCACATACATGAAGGTGGCACATCCATAGTGCAGGAAGGTGACTGCCAGGTGCGAGGCGCAGGTGGAGGCTGCCTTGCGACGGCCCCTGGGGCAGCGCAGGCGGCGCAGAGCTGCCGCGATGGCCCCGTAGGAGGCCAGGATGAGCGTGGAGGGCAGCAGCAGCAGCACCAGGCAGGCGCCCAGCAAGGGCAGCTCATCTGCGTAGCTTCTTGTGCAGGCCAGGTGCAGCAGCGCGGTGATGTCGCAAAAGAAATGCACCAGCAGGTGGGAGCCACAGAAAGGCAGGTGGAAGACGGCCACCGTGAGTCCCACTGAGACCGCCAGTCCCCCGAGGCCACAGGACAGGGCCAGTCGCGCGCACAGTCCGGGGGTCACCACTGCTGCGTAGCGTAGCGGGTGGCAGATGGCCACATAGCGGTCGTAGGCCATGGCAGCCAGCAGGAAGCATTCCGCCCCACCCAGCGCCACGAACATCTGCATCTGAAAGGCACAGCCCAGGAAAGAGATGGGGCTACCTTGGCCCTGGGCCACTACGGTTAGGTCAGCCAGGGAGCGAGGCACCACCACCAGCGTGTAGCAGAGCTCGATGGCCGACAGCTGGCACAGGAAGAGCAGCATGGGTGGCCGGCTGGGCACTGAGGCCACCGCCACGAGGATGAGCAGGTTCCCGCTGAGGGTGGCCAGGTGCACAGTCAGCAGCAGCAGGAAGAGCAAGGGCCTCAAGCGCGGGAACTCAGAGAAGCCTTGAAGGAGAAAGCCACAGGGCATGGTGGCATTGCTGGGGCTGTCCATGCGCCGCAGCGGGAGACACCTGTGCGAGAGAGAAGCAGAGGAAGGGCGAGTCTGTAGGGGGAGGCATTTCTGGCCCTGCTAGAGGAGAAAGGGTCAGGTGGAAATCAGAGGGGTAGCAGGGAGTGGTGGCTGCGGAGGTGGCCCTGGTTCATGGGTCCCAGCACTCTCCCTAAGAAGAAAGTCTTACTGACTTAGAAAAAATGGCAGCCTTTCCTGCCTCCTGCACTGGAATCCCTAGAGCTGCTTTCTCAACCTGAGCTACCCAAAGAAGCCTTGAGTTTAGCTGCTTACCTCACAGTGCTTCAGTCCTGAACCCCACTTACTAAGACTGCACCGTTCCTCCATAACTCCAGTTATTTCCTGGGTTCTGTGTGGCCCTGAATGTTACCTCTGCCTCTGCCTGAGTCCCCTAAGGCCAGAATGTGACTTTGCATTCTGCTTCTCTATCCTTATCCCTGTCCTACTCTGTCATTACTGAGCCACCTTCTGTGTGTGTCACAGAATCACAAAAACGTAGTGCAGATGAGTACCTTAGAGATCATCTCACACAACCTCATAATCAGGGAGGAAAATAAAGTGGAAACCAGGTGGGAGTATTGAAGGGTTTTATTGCTCACACAAAGTCAGGAACAGAATCTGAATTCCTGAGGGTGAATCCAGAACTTTCCATAACCTATCTGAGGTTTGGGAGTATGGCCATTGGGGTCAGTCAGACAATCCATGTTTGCTTAGCCTTAAAATAGAGATCCAAATCTGTGCCAAGTTCAGGGTTAGACAGGCAAGCAGAGGGCCTGGCTGGGTGCCTCAGGACTAAAACGTCCCTGACATTTTGATTAATACACCATCAACATGAAAAAAGGTGGCGCACATCTGTTCTAACTTGCCCTTCAGAGTGAGCAGTACCTTCCAACTTGCCATCAGAAGACTATTTCTTTCTAAGCGTTATCCAGTGACTCATTTGCAGGCAACACTTGTAAAACATTGGTAGCTTGTAGGTCTGTTGTGTTTCTCAAAGTCCTCTGGAGGTGAGCAGATATGAGGTGGTGAGGGGTTTGAGGCCATGTGAACTGGAGGAGGAGGTTTGAATTTTCCCATATATATTAATGATGTCTCTTTTTATTGCCTTCTCTCTTTTTTTAATTAACTTTAATTATAAGCTCAACTATTATTTCCTCTTCAATCACGGTTTGGAGTCAATATTGGAAGTCTACTCTGTCCGTACTGACATAGAGTGCAACTGCAGTTTAGCTGGGTGGATAAGTAACTCAGATGAAAGAATTACAAGGAATATAATGAGCCTATCTTCTGCCTTTTGCTGTCTAATGCTCCTCTTGGAAGGTTTTTATTTATCAGGGTCACCTGGGATTTTTTTTGTCCCATCTGAGGGGAAACAGTCTTAGGGAGGGAGAATAGGGTTAGGGCTGGGGGCAAGTGGAGGGAGGTGGGATCATTTACTATCATTTTAGAGCCTTTTTTTTTTTTTGTCACTCTTCCATCTATTGAGCAAATTTAACAAACCTGTGTTGTAGCTGCAGGTGGGAATGAGAAGCCTGGCTGTCCTGGGGATTCTGGCAGGATGACACCTGAGTGTCCGCCTGGCCTCCCACAATGCTGGCCTTCTGCAGTGCCTCTGCTCCTCCCTTCACTCCTTCCTTTGCGTCTCCTCGGAGAAGCTGGGCTGGGCTGGGTGGGGACGGGGGTGCAGGAGGGAGAGAGAGAAACAATCCACTTCTTTTTCCTCCGTGTTCATGCTGCTGAACAATGTGGATGACAGGAAAGGCCAGGTGATGGCTCCAGTATCTGAAAGCTCAAGGAAGATCATGTTTTATGAACAAGGCTGCTGCAAACAAGCAAAATGGGTCAATTAAATTGAAAGAAAGACATCAAGGAGCATTTCTGCTCTGCTTTAGTTTTGGGGAGGAATTGTCACAAACTCCAGGAATGTCTGTTAGAAGTGCCTTTTCTCTGAGAGGAGAAAGGATAATGGATACTTTTAAAGCTTCAACAGATAAGATCCTGCTCTTTGCTAGGAGAGAAGCTGCAAGAAGAGAAGGCAGCACTGCGAACCCTGAAGATACCCACTTCCTTCACCTGGAACGAAAGACAAATATTTTCACTCCTCCAGGTGATTAAGAACATCAGCAGTAAGAGCTAACAGTGAAGAAGGTGTCGGGCAAAGGTTCATAAAGTCTTTACATATTTAACCCACTTAATATTAGCAACAACCCAATGAGGTATGAACTCTTATTGTGCCCATCTTATAGAAGAGAACATTGAATCCTCAAGAAATTAAACATCATAACTAGTTAGCGGTAAAGCCAGATTTGCATACAAGCAGTGTAGGTCCTGATAATCCAGGGACTTATTCACTATGTAATCTTCCTTTTTTATTTCTCTCCCCCCAAATCCTTGCCACACAAGACACATTCCATCCCCCACTTCCCATATCTCCTACCCCCACCCCAACAAATGTCCTTCCATTCCGTTCTGACCTCATATGTCCCTTTGCTGGTATTTTTCCTGAGGACATGTGAATGTAAGCAGTAATGCGGATAATCCAAGAAGCAAATCTAAAAATAGCTTCTCCTTAGCTTTGACATTCATTATTGCTCTTGTTATTGTTCCTGCAGATTGGCTTTTCTAACTGTGTATGGCTACAAGAAGCACCCCACAGCTGGGACTGGCTGGTGGCCCAGGACATCTGGATATGGCTGGAAGCCTTGCTGGGATGGAGATGCAGACCTGGTATTCAATTTTTTGCTGTGCAATATAACTAAAATTATCTATAGTAATGCTGTTTCCCATTGGTCATTTCAATAGTCAATCAAAGCACTTCTAAAAAGAATTGTGGAATGGTGGATGAGAGAGACAGACAGGTCAGGCCCTTTGGTTCTTAAAGAGTTCAGTGCTGAATTGAAGTGAAGCTGGAAGGTCAGATGGTCTAGATCCTCATGTTATAGCAAGGGAGACCCAGAGAGGTCACTGGCCAGCTTGGGCTGTTGCTGCTGGACTAGAGCCAGTTCTCAGTACTTCTGGCCAAATAGTTCTATTTCTGCATGAATTGTCCTGTTGGTAGACCCGAGCCCATTGATCTAGTATTACAGACTACAAAACTACCAAAAGAGAGGTCATTGCAAAATTTTATTATTGCCCTGTAGGAAGTTAAACTTAAAAGGTTATGAATATAATTGGATTTCCTAACTTCGTTTAGAAATTTGTTGTGGAACTCTGGTCTTTGAATTTTTATAAACTATAATGGAAACTATTTTTATCCTGTGCTTTTTTTTCCCCTATGAATAACACACTGTATACTCAAAAGATATTTTCTTTTTTTAGCTGAAGGAGAAAGAGTCCTCATAGCTTAAAGTTTGCTTTGTTATTTTCTAGATGCTTGCTTTGGAGGGGAGAGGGACAAGGTAGTCACGTCTTCCAAAGGCTCAGATTCCTCACTGTTGAATGGGGACAGCAAGGATCGACTTGGTGAGGATTCTACAAACGAACATGTAAAAGCTTCTAGAATAGACATGGCACCTAGTAGGTGGAAAAATAACCCTGGAAGCATTCTTGCTTTTATCCTTTATTACTTTCCAGGCGTGGGTGGAATATCCTCTGAGTATTTATCATTCCATCAAAGACATTTCCTCAGCCCTTGACTGGGCTGTTTCACGTGCTTTCCTAGAACCTCTGTTCTCTTTCTGCTGTTCCAGAGGGAGAGGTGTGCATTGAATTCTGGGTATGGAACTTCATGGGGAGGTAAATGGACAGAGATGTAGATAAATCTATCTGTCTCTCTGTCTAATCTATCTTTATATCTCATTCTACTTTTCTCTTTGTTTTTCTGTTATCTTCCTGAAACTACATAGGCTATGGAAGAAGATATGTCTGGATTCAGATCCTGGGATCCTGGCTCAGCCACCTACTACCCACATTAATGTCAGGCGATAGACTCAATTTCCCCAATTCTTAATCTCTTTACATCTAAATGGAAATAATGAGGCCTGATTTGTAGCATTGTTGCAAAAATTAGGCATATCATAAAGACAGCCCATAACAGAGGAACATAACACAGAGCCAGGTATGGTAATGGTAACAAAATGTGTTTACTAATCCTACCCTGGTATGACCTGGTCTTCTGAAGCCTGCCCCCGGGTTCCACCATGCAGCAGCTGACAACTGTAATTCTATAATGACCCCTCTTCCTTTACCTTGGATCATCACGGATAACTTGAAACTCATTAACTCACATGTGCTTGCATTATTATATATTTCAATTTCAATTTGTTTTCTGAAATAAAATCCCTTGAATTAAAATTCATTTATCATGTTTTTCTTTTTTTTCTTTCTTTGCCACACAAGCAACGTTTTTTTAGTGTTTTCTACTCATCAATTTGGCAATTTCTTTACTCAGAGGAGCTAAATATCTTCTCTATATTTAGTGACTTCACCGTGTATTCCCTCTTCCAATCATTTAGGATCCCAGGGCGATGTGCTATTTGCCTGTGTTGTATTTCTGTTTTGTGAATTGCTTTATTTTACAAGATAAAGCAGCCTGCTAAATCCTCGATGACTGACTTTGGTAAGATATCTTGTCAAAGACTTTGAAAGTCTAAATGAAAGAAACCTTCTTATTTGTTTCTTGTTGACATCTTTATCCCCTAAAAAGAATCGAAGTAGATTTAATAGGAGATGTTTTCCTTGAACTGAAATCCTTGCCTTTCCCCCCTTGATGGTGATTTTGGAAGTATTTAGGGGTCTTCCATGTCATACAGACGAGACGCCCTCAATGGCTCTGTATTGCCTCTGGAGCCTTTCTTTAAAATGAGGGACACATGGATGACCTAGGAGTCCTCTAGCTCCAGCTCAATGGCTTCCATGGCATTTGCCGTTTGACAAACATTTCCTCTTAAAGTTTCCTGAGGATAAGGATGACCAGTGTGGACAATGTGTGCCTCCTGTTTGCGGTCTCCAGTTAATGGTCATTTTTTTTTTTAATCTTTTCTCCCAAAGCCAATTGTGGGATTAGGGTTTTAAGAAAAGTATCATTTCAGGCTTCCTGCTCTCTCACATTTTCATCTGGAGAAGAGCTTTGAACCATGAAAATCTAGGAGTCCTACTGATTTGACAGCTGGCTTTCCGCCTTTAATGCTTTGAAAGAGATTCTCTGCATGAACGAAGCAGCGCCCATTTAGACGAACGTTTCTAACCCAGACTTACTCCAGAGAAAGGCGAATAAGCTTCCTAAATGGGCTCTTTTAATGTTCAACATCAAAATTGTCTGGCAAAGAGACTGTCCCAGTTCTGGGACAGTGAAGGTCAATTTTACCAGACACAATGAATGATCATTGTACTGTTACATTTTGGAAAGTATTGTAGGCCTGTGGATAGGTTATTTCATCTACTTGGAAAATATCAGCATCTTTGCTCTACAGGAAAACTAGCTTATTTTCAAAATTTACTTTTTGAATCAACTACCATAGAATCAACTCCCCATGAAGGTGGTTTTAGTGAGCCTGAATGGACTCTTAATTTTGGAACTGCATCTTGTACTTCAAGACAGCAAAAGGGCTCCCTTGAAAACCCAGAATGCCCGCCTTCTAAAAGATGTTTTTCTATCTCTTGCCGGCCACATACTAAGTAATGGGGTGAGGCAGCTGCTTAGATAGAGAAACCAAGGCTATCTCAGTATTGCTGGGGATTTTTCAGGGTTCATTAAAATGAAAGCAAAACAACAGTGATAATAAAAACAAACACTGGGGGAGACAAAAAGTACTGATCTCTTACATGAGCCACCTGCAAGGACAGCATTGGAAGGTGCTCTTCAAACATGGTCCTGAAAGCCACAGGCTGCTCAGATCTGTCACCACAAGAGTGACATGAATGATGTCGGCATCCGAAGCTCTTTCCAATGGGAACCTTTCCCAGCCACCCAGGTGCCTGCCTCCTGTGGTGACCAGGAAAGAGCAATAAACAACTAGATTAAGTGAGACAGGATGTACCAGACTGGGCCAGCCCAAATGGGGCTCAGGTGGGGCACAGATTCTCTTCCATGAGAGGCTCCGTGGTTGATGTGGTCCAAGGCTGAGGATTTCATTCTTTGATCAGGACAGGAGGAATAAGTGGAGTCTTTCCTACACTAAGTGGTCAAGTTTCTTGGCTCCTACAGATTTGAGCAATAAATCAATTAACAAAAGATTCTCTATTCTGCCTCTAAGAGTTGAATACATAATATTTTTTTCAATTCTATTCTTTCTTATCATTCTGTAAAAAGAAATGTCATTGGATACCTCTCCCCCTAAAGTCCATGTTCGCATAAGAAGAAAACAAGAAAGATCTCCTATTTTTATATGAAAAAGCTGAGGTGACAGGGATGCATTTGGGTAAAATCATTAGACGTGGAAGGGGAACCTCATGTGTTATGTGAATTACAGATGTGAGGCAGCGGACACGATAGAGGGAGGTGATGCATGGGAATAAATGGTCACCTTACAAGCGTTATGGCTCTTAGGCATGTTTCCTTATTCCTATACTCTACTCTTAGTGTTTTCTGTTCTTCCTCTGCCCACCTGTTCCCCACATGCCAGGCTTCTCCTTACCTGGGTACAGAGAGAGAGAGAGATCACTTGGCAATGGGTGGAGAGATTCAGATTATGGTGGCTGGAGGTTGGAGAGATTCCAGGCAAAGCAAAAAGCAGAAGAGCACAGAGCTGCAGTGGGTGGGTGTGGAGGAGAGGGAGAGTTGGAAGCAGAAAACTGAGGGATGGTTGGGCTCTACGAAGGGAGGGCACCTGGAACAGGGATTCACACAGGAGTTTCTGATGAGCTCTGTCTGGTCAGAACTATAACCTTGGCTTGCTTTATATCCTTGGAGGGTGGGGAGATAGGGAGGAGAGAGTACACTAGTTCCTTCCAAAGGGAGGGCAAGAACAAGAGCACCCTGTGATTAATTAGTCCTCACAAAGTCCCTCCTCAAGGCTGGAGACCTAGGAGGAGCTTGGCACACGTGCAACTCCTGTGAAGCTGTCCAGAGAGAAACAGCTGTTTCTATCCCAAGCTGCCCATCTGCCATAGTGCTGTCTGTGCCACCAGTGCCTTGCTCTTTCCCTAGAGTTTTTCTTGCTTCTCTGTCATCATGACAACTCCCACCTCTGCATTCTGGGCCAGGCTGCAGCTCCAGATCCTGCAGTGAAGTGTCAGGTGCCTGGCAGGACTAAGAGATACAAATTTACCCAGTGGCTAGAACAGGGAGCTGGCCATTGAGATGCATGAACAATTCCCCGAGTTTGCACACGTGTGCAGAAACCCAGAAAGGGTCGGAGAAAGGCTACACGACAGGAGACTTTCGACCTTGGAATTTAAATACCCATTCTGCCAGGTTCTCCTAAATTTGGGAGCTGATGACATGGTTATTATCCTGCATCAATCTATAAGCACCAAAACCCACAGGACTCTGGAGGTGATCATTCTAATTAATTTACTCATTTATTCATTGAATCAACACATGTCCATTGAATTATATACGTGTCAGGATTGATCAAGGTACTGGGCTATTGATCAGTGAGCAGAACAGATGAAAATTCCTGTCCTGTAGAACTCACATCCTAAGGAGAAGAGGCCAACCATAGCCAAATTAAGTGAATTATGTAACATATTGAGAAGTGGTAAGTCCCATGGAAAAAAGTAGAACATCGGGAATGTGAGGGGGTGGCATGTGGTTTTAAATAGAATGTCTGAAGCAGGCTGTAGTGGGAAAGTGGTATTTGGTAAGAAACCTGAAGGAGGTAAGGAAGTGAACCATGTGGCTATGTGGGAAAGAACATTCCAGCTAGAAAACCCAAAGGGGGAGCAGGCTGGCAGGTGTGTTGCACAGCGAGGAGGCCAGTGTTGCTGGGCAGAGCCAGGACAGACCAGCAGCAGATGAGTCAGAAGGGCAGCAGGCAGACTGCAGGAATGCTTTGCAGGTAACTGTGAGGACTCGGCTTTTATTGGTGTGAGGCGTGAGGACTGCATAACTCGAGGATTCCTCTGGCTGCTGTGTTCAGACTGTAGGAGACCAGGGAAGAGGTCAGTCTAAGTATAGGGAAAAATGGGCTGGATCAGATTGGAAGTAGAGGGGTGGCATGTGGCTGGATTCTGGAGGTATTTTATATGTAGGGCCAGCAAACCTCTTGATGAGTTGGATGTAGGTTGGGAACAAGATCAGAATGACTTTTTTTTTTTTTTTTCCTGAGGAACAGGAAGAATGGAGGTGTTATTACCTGAGACGAGAAAGCTCCAGATGGAACAAGTTTTAGAAGGCAAGATCAGAGGTTTCACGTAGGACTTAAGAAGTTTGATGTGTCTGTTAAATAGCCAGGAGGATCTGTCTGATTGGCAATGGTGCATAAGACCTGCGTTTCATGGGAGAAGACCACATTGGAGATAAAAATGTAACTGGGCCAGATGACCCCAGGAAAGAACAGAGAGAAAAGAGAGGGTCCAAAAGGTGGGTCCTAGTTGGATGTTAGTTTGGAAAGATGAGAAGAAACCAGAAAGGGAGGCTGAGGGGGAGTCGTCTATGGTTGAGAAAACCATGTACTAATGTTCTGCTTATTCCCCAATTTTTACATCTACAGCATAAAACATATGGAAAATAATTTTGTGATATAGTAGCCCAACTTCCCCTCTTGACAATGACTTCACAACTGTCTCATCCACAGCCTGGCTGTGCCAGGGCAACAGATTGAGTTGCAAAGAGGCCAAAGAGAGTGCCTGGAGACAGCATGGGAGACATCAGGAGAAAGCTTACAGGAGATCAGAGGCTGCTCCAAGAAGGGTTCAGCGGTTACAGGCTGATCCTAGCACCTCCGTCCCTCACAGTGCTTTGCCAAGCCGTGTCTCCTCTCTCTCGTGGTGTTCTGTCCAGTGACAGCCGGCTAGCTGGGTGACACTCGCCCTTTCCACAGTGCCCTCAGTTCCATGTCCCCATAGATGGAGGGGTTTTCTATGTTAGGCAGAAGCAGTGACATCACAAACACTAGTGTGCTTAGTTGGCATGTACACAGTGTCCTGGTGTACATGCAAGATAGTAGCGCTACAGATATCTGACTTACCCAGTTCCTGGAGTGCATAAGAGAGTCAGTGTCCTTCAAGATGATACATATCTGGACTTTGCAGCCCACATTTCCTCTCATTTCCCCTTAACTTGGTGAGGTTTTGGGTGACAGAAAAGGGGCATTCGGGTGATACTGGTCCCTTTGCTTTAGGGTGATACAGGTCCCTACACAATTCTTAAGGAAAGGTCATAAGGAGGGTTGAATGGTAGTGATACCCGG